CAAGTGTTGAGTAATATTGAAAATAATATGGCAAGAGAAATAGAGAAATTAAATTGTTTTCCTTGTAAATTTTCCACGATGATTTTTTTACTTCATGGAAAGCAGAGTAATTTGTGAGGTCATTTTTCCTTCACACACAATTCACTTTCATGAAGTTTATTTAAAAAAAAAAAAAAAAAGGGGAGGGGGAATTTCTCTGAGAAACAGAGAAGTCCCAATGCCTGGCTGAGCCCAGAGGGAAGTATTTTCTCAGGAAGGCCATTTCTGTCCCTCCCCTCCCCCTTTCCTCCTATACTTCTTCCCATCCACATCTGGTATATCCCATTTTTCCTAGTTACAGAGAATCCCCATCTCTATTCCTTTTTCCTGCAAGACTGTGGTGCTAACAAATACCAGGTATATTGTAAAGCCAGAAACCCCCCAAAAAAACTACCATGCTTAGAGGCATCAGAAAGGTAAAAAAAATTAACAAAAATCCTTAAAACTTAAAGAGCACAAAGGGTCAGGTAAACAATGATATAAAACCCCAAGTATAGAGAAGAAGGTGCTTGTTTCAATAACCTGGGAATTTTTTGCTAGTGAGACATGGCAATCACCTTTAAATGACAAATCCTACGGAGTTTAGAAAAAAGGGCCTTGCAGGTGACATGAGGGGAAAAGATCAGGTTTTGATAAAAGTAGAAAGCATCCACCAGAATGGAATGATAATTAGAGATAATTATAGCCAAGTACGAGGGTGCCAGAATATGGTGTCTACCCAGCAAGTTACAGTAGGGTCGAACCTCCTTTTTAATCACTTTGAACTTGCCATTTTTATTTCTTGGCTGATGAATTGTTCACAGACAATCTTGGTGTATTTACAGAGTATTAAGTTCAACCAAGGTCAAAGACAGAGATACATTCTCCTTAGAGCCTCATTCCCTCTCAGATGTTTAAGTAAATGGCTTAAGAGAAGCCACCTGGAACACAAAAGGGAACACAAGAATTCAGGGTCTGGTCTTGCCCCTTTTGAGCCAAGTGAGTGAGCACCTAAACTTCCTTGAGCCTCGGTCTCTTCATCCACAGAATGGGGCTAATGCTTTGTTCTACTTACCACAGAGCCCTGTTGTGAAGCTCGGACAACACGATGCATAGAAAGGGCTCTGCAAATAATAAAAATAGAAGTGCTATTTATGATTATTGTGACTGAAGAAGGAGCCGTTGTTGAAATCAACGGCTAAGTTACTGAAGAGCCACTTTGGTTACTTGAACAGATGACTTACAAGGGTTAATAAGCACATGTCTTGGTCACCACTTAGGCCTGGTGAGTCAGAGCCCTGGAGCACGAGGCCCAGGTCATGGGCTCCATGAGACCTGCTCATCTGATTTGGACAGCAGAAGCTTCTAAGTTAAAGAAATCTGGGATTGAATCCCATCTTTACCCCTTACTCACCAGGCAAGTCCCTTATTCCATCCAAGCCTCAGTTTCCCTATCCCTAAAACTGGTACATTAATACTGCCTTGCAGGGTTGTTGTAGGTTCAGAGAGAACATACACAATCTCTAATACCTAGTAGGACATACTCTCTGTTCACCTAGGAACAAGTATTCGAAAGTGAAGAGGCAATCTCTTTAACCCTTACCAGCTATTTTGTAAATGCATGTGGAGATTGCTTATGTAGACAATCCTCTCAGATCTATCCCTGTTTCCTGAAAAACTTTTTTAAAAACTATGGTTCACTAATGATGGGATTTGCATCTCAAAATGACAGTACATTATAAACCGACTTCTTTCAGTTACTTTTCTCATTATAATATGGTCCCTGAGATATACCACAAAATTTTTTGGTAATTTGACCTAAATTGGCCATAAGGTTGCCCTGTGCTCAGAACTGCAGATCCTCACCACCGCCCAGACCTGCCCCTTTGCCACATTTCTATCTCACTTGCCCCTACATTCAACACAACACCCCAGCCAACTGGACATCTCGACTGTTTCCCAAAGCCACCCTCTGCCTGGAAAGCCTGTTACTATCTTACATCAGGCATCCTGGAAACCGACAGTGAGATGCTGAGATCTGCATGCAGGGCTTACTGGGGAGCTCTCAGGAAGCCCCTTGAGGGAGCAAGGGGTGCGGGACTGGGCAAAGGGGGAAGGTGAACCATGATGCGTCCACAACTCAGGCCTCAGTGGATCCCATCTGAAGCTCTGGAGCTGGGGTGGTCCTTCAGGATGTCAGAAATTATGTCAAGGTGCTGTGCCCTCCACCCCCCTTTGACCAGGCACCAGAGGTGAGCTTCCTCCCAGGAAGGAGGTATAACCTTTGGCAAAAGGCAGTTCTCAGAGAGGGATTCAGCTGAGATCCATCAGCAGCCAGCTCTCCTTGCAGCTGGGCGATGTGTGTCTGTCTCCTCCTGAAGGGGCATCTGGGCAGCACCTCACCACATCCACTACTGCAATTTCCAAACCACTGCCCAGCCCTTGAGGCCCATATGCACCACTGCCTCACCATGCAGCCCACTCTGCCCCTGTACTGCCTCCCTCTTCGAACCTGAGATGTGGCCACCAAACCAGGAGCCTCTTGCATTGCCACTGAGTTCAGAGTGCACAAAGCTCACAACATATACTTGGCACTACTTCTCAAAATTCCAGTGAATGTACAGAATGAGAAAGCTATACCCCTTAAGCACGGTGCAGTGATACACGTTCTTACAGTTACAATTTCCAAGACCTCAGCATATTTAATCATACTTAATACTTCTTAGTCTTGTTCCTCATTTTGTTTATAGGAAAGAAAATTTCATTGGTAATGATACAATCCTATTCTTACACAATATCCATTGGGGTTTTCATTTCCTTTATTTGCTGAATATTTTTTCTTTATAAAGTATTCTTTTGAAAATATAACAAGAAGTACTATATACTGAAAGGAAAAAGACTAGAGAAGCAGGGTCAAATTAGTAAGAAATCTCCCAACTTATACAAAATTACACAAAAGTATCAGCCATAAAGAAAATATGGTTGTAAAGAGAAACCAACGTGCCATAAGTGTATCTATCCAGCTCCCTTAAGAAGTGAAGAAATGGACTCCTGTCTGGTTCAGTGGGTAGAGCATGCGACTCTTGGAGACACAGAATCTGAAGCAGGCTCCAGGTTCCCAGATGTCAGCACAGAGCCCGACGTGGGGCTTGAACTCACAAACCGCAAGACCGTGACCCAAAGGAAGTCGGACGCTTAACCGACTGGGCCACCCAGGCGCCCAAGAGCGTGCGACTCTTGATCTCAGGGTTGTAAATCTGAGCCCCATGTTGGGCCTAGAGATTATTTTAAAAACAAATGACAGGGCGCCCGGGTGGCTCAGTCGGTTAAGCGTCCGACTTCAGCTCAGGTCACGATCTCGCGGTCCGTGAGTTCGAGCCCCATGTCGGGCTCTTGGCTGATGGCTCAGAGCCTGGAGCCTGCTTCTGATTCTGTGTCTCCCTCTCTCTCTGACCCTCCCCCGTTCATGCTCTGTCTCTCTCTGTCTCAAAAATAAATAAACGTTAAAAAAAAATTAAAAAAAAAAAGAAATGAAGATTAATGTCATATTAGTGTCATGATTTCACATATTGGAATACTTTATTGGATCAAAAACATGAAAATGGTTGCTTTGCAATAAATAGGTTACATGAATGAAAAAATCAATTAAAATGAATTAATGAAGCCAAATTCTTCTATCAAATGAAAGAGATATACGTGTGAAAGACATATACGTTTATGTTTATACCTGTTTATAAAAAAGTATAAATTATGTGCTTATATATTTTTATATGAATGTATATACAAATGTATATATGTGACCACATGCATGTGTTAGGGGAATACACACACATATATACGCTTCCCTAACAAATTATTATACAGGTGTTGTTTTTTGGAAAACTACCCCTGCACTCTGACAGACCATTGCAAACTGAAGGGTTAACATGTATCCAGCTCTGAGTCAACAGTATGGCCCTCTACATATGATCCCTGCATGCTTCCAGATCTACGACAAAACACCCTACACGGCACCAACCTTAGGTCCAGGCAAGTGGCCCAATCCCATCAGAGCACCTGTGCAAATGTTTCTAAGTCTTCCTCAGATGCCTGGGATCTCCCAGGGCTGGCTAGCAGTGCCATCCAGGTCTAACAGCCCCATCCCAGACCAGTGCCTGCAGGGGTGCTAGCCTCCACTTCTTTTCAGGGCACTCTCCAACCCTCTGTCCCAGGGTGGCTTCAATCAGATGCCCCAAGGAACCCCTGACCTCACACCTTTCGGTTTTCTGGGGCCTGTGGTCCAGATGTGTTCCAGGAGGTTAGCCTGGCAAACAGGTCCCCTCCCCCTCAATAGCCAGCATGCTGTTTCCTTGCATACGACTGGGCTGCCAGCGTGGGTGCTGGCATATTGACTTTGGGTGACTCACTCACATCGGACATAGGATTATTCAGGGCAATGGGTGAAGTAACCACTTTTGGACTTGAGCCTGGCATTTGTGGGCTTGTCAGTGTTCCCACTGCAGTGCTGCCTCCAATCTACAAAACCCCAGGGTAGCGGGGTGGCAGCGGGGGTCCTTCAACATCAGGACGCCCCACCCTCATTGCTGGCCTAAGGGTAGCCACTGTCCCCTGACACACTCCTCGCCACATGTCAGTCTACAGGAATGCCTGAGTCCCTCATCTCCTCCAAGGTTTTTGGAGACTGTTAACTGTATCACATACCCTTGTAACACATGTCCCCTTGTCTCTGATCAATGTGCTAACATTGCATTTTCTCATGTTGGCTTTTTTGTAGGTATGGAACCACTCTTCTGCTGGGCCCGCAGGACCCTCTCCCAATGTCAACACTGAAGGAGATCACTAGTCTGCAGCACCTGAGAGAAGACATACTTGAAGATGTGTTATTCTACATTTACGCTATGTAATTGCAAGCAGTCAATTTAACATGACCAAAAAAATAAATGACTGTTCCCACTTTTCTGCATTGTCCGGGTAAAACTCACCCTTGCGGTCATCGGCAAAGAAGCTTGGTTAATGATGCTTATGAGTCACTGGAGGCCCATATTCACGGGCAGCGCAAAGAGGATGAGGTGTCATGAGTACCGACCTGACCAGCACTGAACAGAGGACTGTGGGAGAGCTGAAGAGGTAAAATCAGTCCATACTGCTTTAATACCAACAGGCTCCAAAGAGTGTGGGGACTAATAATGTATTTCTTACCTTTTTCCCACAGTGGGAGATATGAAGTTAGCCAGGAATGGTGCATCTGACAAAAAGGAGAAGAGAGAGAAGGTCCCTGGACCTAAACAGGAAGAGCTAGTGCCCAGAGAGCATGAGGACCTTCACAGGTGCTGACTGGACACATAACAAACACAGAAGTAACACTTGTTCATCCATTATTCTAAATCTTCACTGATAAATTATTATACCTCACAGGGGTCCAGTGACTTTATGTTTTTTAATCAAAGTGTTTCTACAAACAGGGCCCTGCAAAAAAAATATATTTCTAGAGCCGTGTACAACATAGAGGTGGCCCTGATCCTATGAGTTTTTTTTTTTAATCACCCTGAAACCTAGAGATACTGAATTAACAATACCTTTCTCAAGCCTTTTTTTTTTTTTTAGCATAGCAAATCCTCTGAAGGCTTTCCAGATTGTGACCAGTATCAGTATGAGAGTCACTTGGTGACACTTTGTAGCAATAACGGAATGCCTTCTAATGGAATTCTGAAAAATAGATGGACTCAAAATCAAAATAAATGTTGAGACCAATAAGACCATTTCCCTTGACCCTTGTCAGTAATATTCCCCCATGCTCTTCATTCTTACCATTCTTACCTATGTTTGTTATCCACTATTTTAAGTGAAAATTCTATGATGGTTTTAAGTTTCAAATATACATAATTAATATTTGAAGACAACCTAGTATTGCACTGGCTCAGGATGCTCACTACATTGGACTCAGCTGCTTCATCTTCTTTTCTTCCTCTTACTTTGAAGAAGTTTAAAACCTAAACAGACCAATAAAAATGTTTCCTGATTTTCATAACCTCTGAGAAAAGACTCCCTCACTCTGTCTGGTCACCCATTCCAATACCTAACAATGTCCACACTGCTCCCACATGAGGAACTCATCCTTGATCTGATGAACATATCTCTCAACCAGGGTCCTAACCAGAGACATCCAATGGCCCCATCCTAGTCTACCCAGGCAAATACAACATTTTTTAAGGGGCAAGTAACTTTTCTACAAATACCATGCCTTAAATCCCTTTGAATTTACCTGCTACTTTCAAACATAGACTCAAAACATTTATTTCTTTTAAAATTTCATTCTTAGACATGCTGATAAATCTCTTCCCTCCAAGAACATTTAAGCCCCTTTGATTAACTCTGTGGTAAGCTATGAACATCAGCCCATTTCCTTTCTGGTATTTTTGTTTTGGTTTGTTTTTTTTACTCTTCCTCTAGTTGATTTTTTTTCCTATTTGATATCGAGCTCTCCTGGTTTTAGCCCATGTGAAAGAAACATATCCTTTAACCTCATATCTGTTGTAGGGTTTGCTTGACAAATTCTTCTCAATGCCTACATGGTAGAAAAATAAAGTTCCACTATGCCAGCTTGGAAGTCCAACTCCACTGTGGTAACACACTACCACTGAGCCCTCTTTCCCACTCCTTAAAACTGCAGAAGAACATGTTTCCCCTTTGACCTCCCCAACCTAATGCCCAATGGCTTTAGAGGCTTTGACATCTAGAGATGAGACACAAAAGCTAGAATACAGTGATTCACATTTGTAGCAGTATTGAAATTTACATGTTAAAAATGGAGCTTTTTATTCACTATAAATGAACTTAAATTTGTTCACAAACTGATCGTGGAAAACTTAACTTTGACAATCAAGGTGAGCTTAGTCATGGGTTCATTCTGGTCTCCTTAGGACAGGATCATCATCATTTCAGGATGTTTCCATCCCTTTCTTTTATTGTATCCCTTATGGGGTGATCCACGTCAGGGGAAGGGGCTTTTGAAACTTCCTGATATTAGGCCAAGGTCATTAGTAGGTGTGATATTCAAAATATTTAACAAGCAATAGGGTACAGGCACCAACCAATCACCAGAATAGGCACCAAGTGACACAAGTGATAGGGCCTTGCTGGTGAGTACCAGATGATGTCAACCCTGTCCATCAGCATCCATCCAACACTGATTTCTAGTGGAACTTGTTCTATGACCTTGTGACCTACCACTATGGCATCCATGGTTGAAAAACCTGCATCCGGGGCGCCTGGGTGGCGCAGTCGGTTAAGCGTCCAACTTCAGCCAGGTCACGATCTCGCGGTCCGTGAGTTCGAGCCCCGCGTCGGGCTCTGGGCTGATGGCTCAGAGCCTGGAGCCTGTTTCCGATTCTGTGTCTCCCTCTCTCTCTGCCCCTCCCCCGTTCATGCTCTGTCTCTCTCTGTCCCAAAAAATAAATAAATGTTGAAAAAAAATTTAAAAAAAAAAAAGAAAAATCTGCATCCTACTGCTCTGTTCTCAGGTTGATGGGTCTTTGAAGGTCACACAGATGACTCCAGAGACTTTGGGTTATTTGACATCTAGACATGAGAAAGGAAAATCAGACTGCAGTGACTCACTTGTAGCCATTACGAATTTTGTGTGTTAAAAAATGGTAAATGTAAATGGCCACACTCATCTCAGGGGAATGGGGATTTTTGAATCTGGCATCTCTAGGGGCTGCAGGCTTTTTGGGGTGCTACTTAAGACTTTCTCTGCCTAGACCTTCCTGTCACCTTTTATACTTTGCTACTGCAAAACCATGCTGGAATGGACTTACCTACAAGAAATGCTTTCTTTCTCTTGACCTTCATCAGGAATCAAGGTACAGGGCCCCAAATCTATCCTATCCTATCCTATCCTATCTTATCCTACCCTATCCTATCCTATCCCATCCTATCCTCAGGTTCCCCAAAGGCTCTGTAGGAGGGAAGCAGAGCACTAAAAACTTGCTTCAGCTCCTCATTAGCCTCTAACTTCTGTTTTTCCCCCTGGGTACCTGCTGCTCAAACCTGATCTCTTTTGGGCAGCAAAATACTCATGTGGTTTGGTATAAACTCTGGGCATTGAAATTTCCAAAATCTTAAGCTTTCCAGCTCAGGCTTTTATACTAATAGTCTCAGCTTTCAAAAAATATTCTCTCTTTGAGAACTTTAAAAAATAAGTTCAGAAACTCAATTGATTTTTTGGGATCAGCTATTTTAGCCTTCTCCTAAAGTAATAAATTCCACGGAAACAATGGGTGGAAGGCTGCAAAGAAGTAAGGAAATTGTGAAAAAAAAGAAAACATATACACACACCTGTCATTATCTCCAAACTGTATATTTTGCATACATTTTGGGAGAGGTTCTTTCGGTATCCAAGACAGAAACCCAGAGGCCCACAAAATAATTTATGTGGATAAAAAACAACCAATCCTTTACAGTTTGTTGTAATTAAGATGTGCATACCAATAGTTACTCAATAAGATGTGAAGATATTTAAAATGTAAAACATCTTCATTATGGAAATTCTACTCCATTTAATACACTACGTGTTCAATAACCTCAACTCAAGAAAAATTCAAGATGGTACTCTTTTTGTCCCTCTGCTTTCTTTCCCCAAAGAAAATATTTCAAGAGCCCACACTCCTCACATATGTATCATCATATTCTAAAAGCCCTCTCTCTCTCTCTCTCTCTCTATATATATATATATATATGTACGTATATATATATATATATATGTATACATATATGTGTGTATGTATATATGTATACATATATATATGTATGTATATATACATATATATGTATGTATATATACATATATATACATATATATGTAATAAATATTCTGTCCCTGAGGGAAAATTGAAAACAATGTTCAGTTTCCTAGTTAACACAGGCATTAGCATGGGTCTTCCTTATAGTCAGGTAGATACAACATATCATCCTGGCAGTAAAAGTGGAATCTCCAAAGAGGAGAAGGAGGAGGAAACCAAAGGGTACTTATTTTTGTAAAGTAGTTCACAGGTTACAATAAACTCTTCCTTTGATCTTGTTTGACCCTGAAAACAACCTATGCAGTAGTTGAGGCCGATAATATTATCATTCGTATTTTAAAGTTAATGAAACTGATGCTCTGGAAGATTATGTCTTGTGCAAGGTCACATAGCTAACAAGTGATGAGCTAGGACAAATACAAATCTAGGTATTCCGATTTTGAAAATATATAAAAGGTATACCTTCCCCTATACAAGCTGACACGAGAAGAAATGTCACATGAAAAGAAGTGAGAAAACTGGAGAGGGAAGAGTGATCTTAACTGACTATAATTAAAATATCTAGAGGGAGAGAGGGAAGATGGCGGCGGAGGACGCTGGGCTCACCGCGCTTCCTGCTGATCACTTAGATTCCACCTACACCTGCCTAAATAACCCAGAAAACCACCAGAGGATTAGCAGAATGGAGTCGCCAGAGCCAAGCGCAGACGAGAGGCCCACGGAAGAGGATAGGAAGGGCGGTGAGGCGGTGCACGCTCCACGGACTGGCGGGAGGGAGCCGGGGCGGAGGGGCGGCTCGCCGGCCAAGCAGAGCCCCCCGAGTCTGGCTTGCAAAAAGCGGAGGGGCCTGACGGACTGTGTTCCGACAGCAAGCGCGACTTAGCGGCTGGGAGGTCATAAGTTAACAGCTCTGCTCAGAAAGCAGAAAGGCTGGAGGACAAAGGGAAGGAGAGCTGCTGAGCCCCCGGACGACAGAGCTCAGTTTGGTGGGGAACAAAGGTGCTCACCAGCGCCATCTCCCCTGCCCCAAAGAGAACCAGTTCCTGCCAGGGAACTTGCTCGCTCCACGCAAACATCCAACTCTGCGCTTCTGCGGAGCCAAACTTCCGGCAGCGGATCTGACTCCCTCCTTCTGCCACAGGGCCCCTCCGAAGTGGATCACCTAAGGAGAAGCAAGCTAAGCCTGCCCCTCCTGCCCCTGTGCACCTTGCCTACCCACCCCAGCTAAGACGCCAGATCCCCAGCATCACAAGCCTGGCAGTGTGCAAGTAGCCCAGACGGGCCACCCCACCCCACAGTGAATCCCGCCCCTAGGAGAGGGGAAGAGAAGGCATGCACCAGTCTGACTGTGGCCCCAGCGGTGGGCGGGGGGCAGACATCAGGTCTGACTGCAGCTCCGCCCACCAACTCCAGTTATACACCACAGCACAGGGGAGGTGCCCTGCAGGGCCTCACCACGCCAGGGACTATCCAAAATGACCAAGCGGAAGAACTCCCCTCAGAAGAATCTCCAGGAAATAACAACAGCTAATGAGCTGATCAAAAAGGATTTAAATAATATACCAGAAAGTGAATTTAGAATAATAGTCATAAAATTAATCGCTGGGCTTGAAAACAGTATAGCTGACAGCAGAGAATCTCTTGCTACAGAGATCAAGGGACTAAGGAACAGTCACGAGGAGCTGAAAAACGCTTTAAACGAAATGCATAACAAAATGGAAACCACCACGGCTCGGATTGAAGAGGCAGAGGAGAGAATAGGTGAACTAGAAGATAAAGTTATGGAAAAAGAGGAAGCTGAGAAAAAGAGAGATAAAAAAATCCAGGAGTATGAGGGGAAAATTAGAGAACTAAGTGATACACTAAAAAGAAATAATATACGCATAATTGGTATCCCAGAGGAGGAAGAGAGAGGGAAAGGTGCTGAAGGGGTACTTGAAGAAATAATAGCTGAGAACTTCCCTGAACTGGGGAAGGAAAAAGGCATTGAGATCCAAGAGGCACAGAGAACTCCCTTCAGACGTAACTTGAATCGATCTTCTGCACGACATATCATAGTGAAACTGGCAAAATACAAGGATAAAGAGAAAATTCTGAAAGCAGCAAGGGGTAAACGTGCCCTCACATATAAAGGGAGACCTATAAGACTCGTGACTGATCTCTCTTTTGAAACTTGGCAGGCCAGAAAGAATTGGCACGAGATTTTCAGTGTGTTAGACAGAAAAAATATGCAGCCGAGAATCCTTTATCCAGCAAGTCTGTCATTTAGAATAGAAGGAGAGATAAAGGTCTTCCCAAACAAACAAAAACTGAAGGAATTTGTCACCACTAAACCAGCCCTACAAGAGATCCTAAGGGGGACCCTGTGAGACAAAGTACCAGAGACATCACTACAAGCATAAAACATACAGACATCACAATGACTCTAAACCCATATCTTTCTATAATAACACTGAATGTAAATGGATTAAATGCGCCAACCAAAAGACATAGGGTATCAGAATGGATAAAAAAACAAGACCCATCTATTTGCTGTCTACAAGAGACTCATTTTAGACCTGAGGACACCTTTAGATTGAGAGTGAGGGGATGGAGAACTATTTATCATGCTACTGGAAGCCAAAAGAAAGCCAGAGTAGCCATACTTATATCAGACAAACTAGACTTTAAATTAAAGGCTGTAACAAGAGATGAAGAAGGACATTATATAATAGTGACAGGGTCTATCCATCAGGAAGAGCTAACAATTATCAATGTCTATGCGCCGAATATCGGAGCGCCCAAATATATAAAACAATTACTCATAAACATAAGCAACCTTATTGATAAGAATGTGGTAATTGCAGGGGACTTTAACACCGCACTTACAGAAATGGATAGATCATCTAGACACACGGTCAATAAAGAAACAAGGGCCCTGAACGAGACATTGGATCAGATGGACTTGACAGATCTATTTAGAACTCTGCATCCCAAAGCAACAGAATATACTTTCTTCTCAAGTGCACATGGAACATTCTCCAAGATAGATCATATACTGGGTCACAAAACAGCCCTTCATAAGTTTACAAGAATTGAAATCATACCATGCATCCTTTCAGACCACAATGCTATGAAGCTTGAAATCAACCACAGAAAAAAGTCTGGAAAACCTCCAAAAGCATGGAGGTTAAAGAACACCCTACTAACGAATGAGTGGGTCAACCAGGCAATTCGAGAAGAAATTAAAAAATATATGGAAACAAACGAAAATGAAAATACAACAATCCAAACACTTTGGGACGCAGCGAAGGCAGTCCTGAGAGGAAAATACATTGCAATCCAGGCCTATCTCAAGAAACAAGAAAAATCCCAAATACAAAATCTAACAGCACACCTAAAGGAAATAGAAGCAGAACAGCAAAGGCAGCCTAAACCCAGCAGAAGAAGAGAAATAATAAAGATCAGAGCAGAA